TAAATGTTCAATAAATGCTCAATATTTGCAAATAATTGCCTTAAATCGATGCTCACTGATTTTAAGAAAGCTGCATTCGATGCCCGTAGGTAGTGGTTATGATGAATTCACTCGAATTTTAACTGCGATTAAATGAACGTCATTGATAAGCTTCTGAAAAAGATAGAAATCAGCCATCGTAACTTATATTTGAGGAAGATAGAGCGAGAGTACATTTTGATAATACGGAGAAAGGAAACATGCTATTATGATGTATGAAATGTAATTGTCATGAAATCATTTGCAAAAAGTTTCGTAGTTGGTAATCTGATAGGGAAATTATCGTGTCGAATGGCTTCATTATACGCGACTGGACGTGATTATCTTCAAAATGAATATTTAACAAAAAATTTCACTGATCGTGAAACGTGTTCGTGTCCAACCAACATTTTGCTCTCATCATTTACTTATTCGCCAATGAATCTAACGGACTTGTCGATGCATGTGCTCTTCTGATGAGTCTTTCCGCTTGTCAACAATTCAAGAGAGCATTTATTCATTGGTTTAGCTCAACACAATGCCAACAAAGCACTGAATTAAACCAACTTCGAACCAAATTCTTATGGAAACCGGGCCATAAGCACTCTCGTTGAAGTAGGCAAAATAGCTCGACTAGAGTCGAATGAAGAGCATGAATGTGTGTTAATTATGTGCTACAAAGAGTGAGTGCTTTATCGCACTGAAAGTGAGTGGTGCTATTAACATTTTTTTGATTGGTGCACACTGGCGGAACGATCCACCATTGTGATCATTTAGCTTTTTCACAGCGAATTTTACCATTCAGCAAGCCTCTCATCGGTTGTTTGGCTCAGATTCAGGCACGATGAATTTTTGTTAAGCGACAATGTCAGATCTCATCGTGATAAATTTATGCATTGTCTCGTATCGAATCTTTCATAAGTGAGACTGAATAAAACGGAAATGCCACGAATCAAGCGATTACTATGGTAAAGGCATGTCGCCGCATAAATCATTCCTTAGTTTTGTTTTTTAAAGCATGATAATTCCACGTTTATTACGGGACGTCGAAGAAAATTTGACGTAACTGACTGACTGTGATAGCCTGCTGGATAGCAATTCATTTCAAAATCCCTTTCGGTGCATGCAAGATACCGTCATTCCACTAGTTTTTTATCGTTCATCAACCAAATAATTTCATTTCAAACGAAACACCAATTGACTAAAACGTTTCTAACAAATATCGAATTACAGATATTAAACGAAGCGTTATTTAATCATTGTTATGCACCTCTATTTGGTAACATCGTCAATCACACGGTGACTGTGTAAAAGAACGTCAAAATTGCATTTCTTAACGATTAATCAGCTTAATAACATCAACATCAACAGCGCTCATAGAAATTGAATTCTATGCATGTGTTGCTAATTCGTTGAACACGGGTTCATATGAGGCAGATGTGTAATTGAGCACCGACTATTTCTATTGCCTTCTTTCGTCTGGTTCATTTCCTGAGAAACATGCTGTTATGAGTACGTTTGTGTGGCTTCAACAAGTCCTCAGACTTAGTCATGAATGGAATTACAGATGAATAGATAGAATACTTTATAGCGCAATGAATGAATGTCTATACTAACTAATTCACTCACAAATGCTTGAAATGAACGAGCAACACAAATATGATGAATGCGAAAAACAATAGCAGCGTTGAGAGTAATTCATCATCAAAGTGGAGCATCAACGAGACTCATTCAGTTTTTATGCATTTATCGGCCCTATAGAGCCAATAAATAAAACAATAAAACACTGACAATGAATATGCTTTTAAGGCATTATAAGTGAATAATTGTGTTCCCTTCATTACTGTGATTTCTCATCGGTTAAACATCAACCAATTAATGCGCTGGTCTTCGGACCATTTTGTTTGCTGAAGCCTTGCTGTTCATAGCGATAGCATCCATACGAAATTTCAGTCCGATTCTCCCAAAACTTCAGTCGAAATTCGGTATTCCGACAAAAAACCATTCCAGTCTTTGGCCAAAGTCTGTATTTCGGAATTCTGACTGAATTTAGTCACCGATGAAACTTCCGTCGATCAATCAGTATCCCTAATTGTTTGCGCAGTTGACAGCATCGCACATCTAAAAACCTTTTCCTTTGACGAGATGAATGTTTAGGGACTTTGTAAGAGCGTGGAACTTGGAGCTCTCCTAATCCTTCAAATCAAAAAAACACTTATTGGCTATGAGCACGAGATCGTTGAGAGCTGAACTATGCAAACACTTGAATGTCGATAAGATCCGTTGGAATCATACGGTCACTTCCCGTTGCTTTGGAATTATCTTTGAGATGAATGAGAATTTGTCATGGAATGGATAATTGCTGATGGGCGGCGTTATCGTTGCTTCAGTATCATCCGGTTTTCTGAATGAAGCGCTTGATATTCGATCTCTATAGAAATCGACCTAGGTTCACCGCTATAAACATCCTCTTTTATCCTTTCCTCATCATCCAGCCAAACACGCCCATCCAGCAAAACTTCATCACCCCATTCACATTCACTCTTCATTGCCGTATTCGTTCAGTATCAGCAAACTCTAAGCATGCATACAAGCAGAAACCAACAATCAACCGTGTTCCTATCGCCACGCTATAATATGCGACGTAACACGGTCGCGTATCAGCAAAAGGTCAGTTCACTGTTTTCGATATCAACTTCGAAGGTCAATTCACTTGAACGATTCTCATCAGACATCTTCATGTATTCATTGAGAACACGCAAAAATTTCTTGCTAGATCTTTTCCTGAGGTGACGACTGTCATCGCATTTACTCCATCATCCAATTGTTGCCATAGACTTCATTGAGGTAACGAGTTGACCTACTTTAAGTTAAGACACAAATTTTTAACTTCAAGTTATAACAAATTCAAATTCAAGTTAAGAAACAGCCAACAGCTGTTTCAAGAGAGCTTTTTTATGAATCGCTGTCGATTTAAATACATTTTTGTCAATGTCTCCAATGTTCCTCCATTTGCAAAAAAACATAGTGATAATGGGATGTTGAAGTTTGATCATTAGTTACAGCCACCAGTTACAGCACAACAGATATTTCGTTCAGCTGTCGAAATTCCACTGCGCAACATCACAATAGAACATTGATTTTATCAAGGAAGCATTTCTCTATTCCATGCCAATTCCAGAATAAATCTGGCATTATACTAGCTTAGTTCCTTGCATTGATGTTACTGCTTTTTCATGACTTTCTCATGACTCATTTTTGTCAGCGAACAGCCATCATATGCTACTACCAACCATCTACCACGATATCCCTGTGTTTGCTGATATCTGAACATCCGAACAAGTCAGACCGGTGAACGACTGTTGCGAATTCAACTCTGAGTTTTCAGTCATTACCCAGATATTAAACGTCGATATTACCCGGATAAAATGCAATGCCGTTCGGTCCTTTGCCAGTTGTTACCGATTTCCTTCGCAGTATCGTCTTCCCATCTTCTTGGAACTCTCCCGATTGATCATTCTGTCATGAGTAAAAATATTTGGTCATACGTGTAATTCACTGCAAACTACTATTCATCTTATCAGCAATCAGCATTTTTCTTCGTTTAATCGGATTAAATGTGCATTTTAACACGCAGAAGAGTGTGTGGCCTGTGAAGTTGCCATATTCGGTTGTACTTTTCTGTTGGGTAATGTTCCGACCGCGTTTACTTAATCAGCTCTCAGTTTCTTTTCGTTTTTTATCACCTCGATAAAACTCTTTAAATCGCGTGCCATATGCATCGTAAACCTGTGATTATATTTTAGTGATCGTTTGAGCCGTTCAAAAGCTAAACGATTATCTACAGGAAATGTCGATCATTTCAACATGCTCTATTGTTCAATCCCATCCACTTAATGGATCCGCATTTGCGTTCTAAAACTTTTAAATATGCGAATGAAGTCATTCACCTTCTCAACTGATCATCCAAATATTCCTATCGTAAAATTTCTCATGTATCGATATAAAGGCAATTCAGTGTATTCATACGACTGAGTCAAATGCACGAAGCTGGCGATTTGTGAACGCGCGAGGTCATCGCAAAAAAGTTTCATGCATGAATAGTATCCCTTAATGTTCATGGTAGCGTTGTTATCTTGAAACCGAAACTTAGATGCATGTCAACGGCTTAATTTGAAACAAATCACATCAATTTGATGTGATTTGATGTGATTTCTGAATTTTGATCACATCATATAGAAAAAGTATTTTGATGTAGATGTCGGCAGAACTTCGAAACTAGCACAAGTATTTACTGAGAGTCCTTGAAGCACTCCCGTAGGATTACGCTGACAGTTTGGAAGTAATTTATGATTAGTCGAACTGAGGAGTTATATGAGAAAAAAAAGCTAACTTTTAATTGTGACTTATCCGTTGCGTTCATTGCATCTTCTTCATACGGTTTCAGAGTATACTAACACTAATCTGATAAATTAATTCCGTTCTGAGATTCCCCTCCGTCATCCGTAAACACTTTCATACTGCTTCAAAAAAATTTTTTTTTGGAGAAAAGGACTTCTGCAATGTAAGCCTTCACTTCCTGAACGCAACAACCGGATTCATGTAAAACATTGTAGATTCTTGATGTTTAATTTTCCTCCAACGGTTGGTTCTGTTAAACGACGCATGACTCGGTGAAATTGAAAAACGAATTTGAACAAGCATCGTAAGGTGTGGATGGTTAAGGGTCAAACAACGTGTCAATTTCAGATGCCTGTACGAAGGTTCTCACCGATTCCGATGAGCGCCGAGGAAGAGCGAAAGTTCTTGATGACTCGTTTGCACACTCTACAAGCCAAGGTGTTGACGTCAAATTTGAGGTTGCCTCCACAATTCAAGGCGAAACTCGATGTGAGTTTTGCTTTAAAATCATTCGAGTCTTTTCGATATATCAACTGCTTTCAGCAGTTTGTTGCCAAATGAGATTTTGTGCAGTCTAGCTATCGCTAATGAGGTGTGTGTCTCGTACGAGAGCGAAACGGCTTATTCTCAATGAGTATTTCGGCTCGTTACGACGAAATATACTTGGCGATTTTTTTTCTCGGCAGGCCTGGTGACTTAATTGGATAAGACAGCTGATATTAAGGCATTGATCACTTCAACCACTTCACCACTGCTCTCCTCAATGACACATTCGATGGGTTCTTTGTGGCTGATATTTAGTTGCAAGCAACCAAAATAAATGAATCAACGGCGAGCAGTAGAAACGAGTAGAATTTTGTCGGTTTGTATCGTTGGCGGAAGTAATTGCAAAGAGGGGAACGCTGAAAATTTTCGGGATTACAAATTTGATTACACAACCATCAGATAGCGCGTGAATTGAGTGAGTGAATTTGCGGCCGTTCGTCGAGATCACCCAATTGAACGACCGTGATCGTTGTCGCATTGTGATAGTGCGAGAAAATTTTGTGCAATGCTACAAATTCAAGAAGTAAACTGCCACAATCTGACGGCTGAAAGCTTGTCTTGTCGCAATTTCCTTATCCAGATATTCATTCCATCTCACTGGGATGCTTCCGCAGTCACGAAAAAATTTGAAACATTGTGGAATTTTTGCTTTGAATATCAAATTTGCTCGTGTTTCTTAGTCGTCTTCGTTCTCATTCCCAACACTGGGAAGGCAAAAGGTATCAACCGAATCGCATTAATAATGCGTAATGTGCAGAATCAAATTCAATCTCATTGTCAGCAACGAACTTTTTTGCTAGAATTTAACGCACTGCAAATCTGTTGCTATGTATTCGGAACAAAACTGAGAACGCTTTTGAAAGATTCATAAAACAGCTGCAAGAAAATTTTTCTCGATTTAGCGAACAAGAGTAGGCTGAAGAAAAGACTGCTGCGATATGAATTGCCCTTAAAGTGCGGTATGAATTGCTCTTTAGGTGTCGTATGAATTGCTGCTCTAATGCGTCATTATTACTTCCAGCCGCATCTATTGTTCTACTGGCAAAGAGTTTAGTCCATGCATGGATTGTGATTACACAGCAGTCGGTGGTGCACTTCTAGAGCAATCTTGTGATGAAATGTGGATTGATTTCTTTATACTTCAGACAAAACATGTTGCTTGTTCGCTTTACGACATTGAACAAATCAAATATCCCTCAATAAAACACCTATTATTCATATACTAGGAAGATGGACGATACAACCTCATCGATGACACTCCTGTCGCCTTTGTCTTTTCGATTCGTTTGCTTCAAATTATTCAGTACGCTTCAAAGATTATTCAAACAATAGTGCATTTTGAATGAACTCATACGAAATGCTTCTTCAGAGGACGTTTCACACGCGCGGATATGCCTGAACTGGCTTAGTGAGTGAGTGCTTAGCCGTTTGAGATCTTTTGAACACCTCATCCTCATCGCCTTAGGCGAACACCGTCATCACTCTCTTGAACAAAGCCATTGTATCATAGTTGTTAATATTCGGAAGTGTGCGTTGCACTTGCAAACATTCTAAAAACTTTCCTCGAATCATTCCCATAGAAAAGCACATTAATACATAATTGTCAAACATTTCGTCAGTTTAAGAGAATGCTATCGAAGATGCACTTTTAAACATTTTTTTTGTGAAATTTTCTATTTTTTCCAACAGATGTACTTGGCTGATCACGACATTTTGACTAACCAACTGCTGAGACATCTACGCAGCTGATCACTTAACACCTCTGCATTTTCCTCAGCACTTGGTCTCTAGGCAACTTCCTACGATTAGAATGCTTGATTGCATTAAGGAGCAGCTGCAATTACAAATACGAATCCACTGTTCGTCGCTTATTTTTTTTTTTCGCTGTTCACTGTCAGTTATTTTCGCCAGTAGTTCATCAGCTGAAAATAGTATCATCGCATTTCATTTCAAGGGAAATTCCTTGAAAGTGCGAGTTTACTCAATCAAATGCTAATAACAGCTTATCTAATGAAGGGTTACTGAATGAAATGTGCAAAAAAATCGCTCACCGACGAGGATACTAATCAGCTTCTCCGTGATGGTTCATTAGATGGCCAATTCAGAAAGAATTTCGTTTTCAATGGATACTTAAATCACATAGTTTAATGACCAAGTTTTTGACTTATCGATTTTCAGAAACTCGCCCGATTCTCTTCTTCGATCCAAGAATGCACTCAAATACTTCTTCATTCGTAGAAAGATTGGGATGGCAGGTCTGAAGGGCGCATTCAACCAATTACACATTCATATAGCTTAATTGTTCCCTCTTTTCCTTTTTGTAGACAGCTATTAGGCAAAACCAGAAAGTTGCATGAGAACGTTCTGATGCTGCTTCATTCCTTATTCGTTGGCAATAACAAGGAGTCGATTTAAACGTGCTCAGTCATCCAGATATCTCGTTCTGAAATCAACCGTGTTTGTATTTCTTCCTAATTGTAAGCAAAACACAAGGTGAGGGTATGTACACGTGAGGAGACTTTTGATGAGCAATACTACTTGCGATGACATTCGGAAAATTTCCTTAGCGCCTTATTTTGAAGCAGGAAATTGATTATGGGCTCTACTGGATCAGCTCTAGGCAAGCAACTTTACCGCTGACATATGTATGTGTAGCTTGGTTGTTGATTAGGATGTGAATTTGATTTATAGTTAATTCACTTGAAAGGTCTCTTGGGTCTTCTCAATAAACTCTTGTCGAAGAAGAATTTGAATGCACAATGCAACACCGCTCTGAATGGTTATCGTTGAAATAGCATTGAACAAACCAAAAATTATTGCCCAATTCATCCGTTCAAAGTTCACTGACAACGTGTCTGTCCATTTTTAAAATGTCATTCAACTTGATTAAACTCAGTCATATTCACTTTTTTACGACTGAAAAGAAGAGATTCTCTTAAAGAATTTTTCAAGAATTCATTCTGATTGATTGCTCAAATGAAGCACTGCAAATGATGTGTTTTCACAAGATTTCTAATTGAGCTTCGAACGACTGATTGTGAGTTTTTTTTGCAAGTTTATATCGACAAATGAATTGAACAGCTCAAGTATTCACAAGTGTGTTGACATTATAAATGCGTCATCTTGGCATTTATATTTAGAGTGCTTGAAAACCGCTAGTAATGATCAGTATCCGTTCCGTTTCAAGGGAGGTTTAGCAAAATGTGGTGGGTGCACTTCAGATGCAGGAAATCGCTGAATTATTCATAAATCTTTCGTCGTTATCAAACTGACTTCGGTGAAAACCGTACGACTCCACATTATATGCAGTTTGCGAAATAAACTAATGTTATAATGGAAAAACTGGAAAGGCAATAACCTCCACAAAGAAAACTGTTTCATCGATGAGTTTGTCTCATTTTGTTGAGCATGTTTTAGAAGAACGTAAAAGAAATTTCATTTCAGGAATTCGATCCGAACGAGTTCAATTCAACCGGAGAGCCACTTTTAATTGCTGTGATGAAGTACTTGGAGAGCAGAGAAGATCGCGTGGGTCTTTTAACAAAAAACAATAATAATTATTAATTGCAACTATCAAATATTCGTTCACGATTCTCATAAAATTGGTATAACAGAATTCACACTGTATATGGCTTAATCCACCCACAATATTGGATTTCCGCAATACAGCACTTAATGCGCAACAATAATTTGTTGTCGTATAAAACTGCGTTGAAATGATCGTTTTCATTAAGTAATTTTGAGGGGCGTTGTGATTTACGATGTAATTTTGTATCAGTTTTCGAGATTCATCCTGATCTTGAATTGAGTGGAGATTGATCGAAAATTGTTACAAAGATCAGTGCGTTTCGGGCTGCTTCCTGTTATGAATTTGTTTTGCACGAGTAAAAGCGAATGTCTGTTCGGTCTCTTGAATGCTCACTATTCGCACTTTAGCAAAAGTGATTTCTGATTGGATTACAGTTGAAATACCTCAAATTGCTGTTGGACAATGGTGCAAACGTGAATGAGCAAGATTTGCGTGATGGGCGAACAGCGCTCATGTTTGCATGCATGGAAGAGTCACGACTTGACGAGGGCAAACTTCTGATGCGAACGGTTAAATTTCATTAATACATCAATTCTGTGAGTGAATGCCACCACTTGATGTGTCACTCAAAAATCACAAGCTTCCTTGTTGCTTCCGTAGTCAGTCAGTTCAAGGATATACGACATCCACATATTTTATCTCTTCATCAAACCGGTGAACTTATTCAATGAATCGCTTGACAGCTAACAGAGATTTCATGACAGACGAAAGCATTTTGACAATGAAAGCATCCCGGCTGATAGCTTATAATTTGGATGATAATGTTGGATGTGAGACAAACGTACCGAGCTCATATAATGCAACATTTCGTATGAATACTGTCCGCAAGCATTATAGCATGTAAAGATATGCCATCGTTGAACCAACAAAAAAAAACTCTCCTTGAAATCCCTGACATCCTGAAATTGAAACTGCAATCCCTGAAAGTTGTTGCAACACTCTTGAATTTCTTTTCATAAAACATCTTCTTGACGCATCGATTATTCATTGAATGTGAACATCGAAGCTATATGATCATGTTCACATGAATCTTGTGGGATTGTAACCTTGTTCTTATTCCGTATTGTTTTCATGCGATTTTACGGCGGCTCCTTCTTCGAAGAGATGGTTGTTTTGCGTGATTTTTGTTAACGTTAAGATTTTTGAAGCAAGCGAGCTGTTGGAAACAAATTGCGAAAATTTCAGAAAGGTTGCAGTTTCCAAGTGCAGGATCGTCTGGGCAATACAGCGGTGATGTATGCGGCAATGAAAGGTCGTGAGGATCTCATGATTGAAATGGTTACGGAACTATCGAAGGTATCAAATGAAATGTTGCGGTTTAGGATGATATCGAGCATAGAGCACTTTCCAAGGCACCTAAAGACTACTCTTCCAAGCAAGCCAATGAAGTCTTTCCAGTAAATTCTCACGTTTGAGTCTAAAAGTAAACAGATAAATACTCAGTGGAATGCATGAGGAATGGATGGATTTCTTGGAACCATATGAAACATTAATCATTTCATTGAAAAACTTAGCTCTCTGAACTTTAAGCAATCAATGAACATTCCATGTGATAGTGACGACGTGAATATAGTGTACAAACACGCACTTTCATAATCGTGATCTTTTTTAACACATTTCTATTGGATTTTCATGCTGTTTCTACTAGATACAATCGCGTATAGTCTCTGGAACGACTGAGCCGTTTTCAGGGTTGGGGTTTATCGGTACTGCAAATGAAGAACTGTATGGGTAATACGGCTGAGGATTTGGCAATTCGAAATAGCCATCATCGATGTGCGAGACTGGTTCAAGCTCAGGTAGGTTCTCCAAGTTCGCTCACCAGACTTATCATTTGCTGATGCGGATCAAAAGTTGTGTGTTCACAGATCAATGTTATGAATCACGAATATTGCACTGAAAAGTGTCTGTCTTATCCCCGCAACGGATCATTATTTATTTCGCACACTTGCTTCTTCAGCCACCGAAAAATGCTCCAATGAAGATGTCTAATTCCTTCAACTTCATTGAAGCGACCAATATCTAATGTCTAATCCACCACCTAACAACCACTTCCTTTAAACTTATTTTAATGATGAATTCCTATCTTTTTACATTTGTTGTATTTTTATCATTAGTAATCGAAAGTGCGTGGTGATCGTTTCCTCGAGAAGTTTTCGTCTGCAAATAGAGTTAATGCATGCATTATCCAACCGAATGGGTCTTTTTTTACAGAGATTGCACATGTTGTCATGTCTGAACAGACAGATGGATATGGTCGGTCGGTTGGGATCAAAACAATGGGTCACCTATACGACTCTCTACAAATGCATTGACAAGTTAGTTCGTTGCATTCACTACTTCCACGCCGGAATCATTCAGAAGATTGTCATTTCATATCAAAAATGAATCATATGTCACCAGTTAGTGTTCGATGAGCACTGGAATGAAATGTTATGCGGAGCAGTAGAATAATTGAAGACTAATCGCAAAAAGTTGCGCCTTCAGATGGAAACCACGTCCACGAAGGAAGTCAGTTGACGCAAGGTTTTTGAGTGTTCATCAACGGGAACGAAAACAGTCAATGTGAACGAAAGATGCATTGAAGATTTTTTGAAACAGTTCGATCTCTTTTCAGCTGCAGCGATTTGATGACAACGTTAATTCGGATTTTATTTTTGTTTTGTTTTGTTTTAAATTTTTCGCTCTCTGATCTCCTTTTATCTTTTTGTGTACATATTTTGTAAATCGCAATTGTTTGCTGTTTCTTGAAGCTTTGTCCAACTGCTGAGACTGCAATAAATCGTTTGAAATCACGCCATACGGCATCAATTATACAATCGTGATGTTATAAAGTTAATTTCTTAACAACAGCCATAGCTGTTGAATAGTTGCTACCAACACAACATAATTACATCATCCTAATAGGAAAATGGCGAAAAATACTGCCAATTACTGAAATGGAAATCAGCGCCGACTAATGAATGCTTCAAGCAGATTGATGAGAAAACCAAAATTATCATCGAGTACGGGAAGGCAGTATTTGAATACTGCCTGATTTTTTCGGATAATTAAACGTTTGCAGAACGCAACAAACGTACTGATTAGAAAAGTGACAAATGCATGATGTATTTTGCTATAATTATGCGCAAATCCAAAATAATTAACCCATCGCATCCTATTCGCATTTTTTTTTGCCAGATAACACAATTAACGACAATCTTGTTAAATGAATAACGTCTAGGAAGCCAAAAAAATATGATTCGGTTTGCACGGATAATGTAAATGTTCGAAGCTTTATCGAATGTCGAGCGTAAGGTCGGAACATCGCACAATCTGATACGTGTTCAATGCCGCTTTTGAAAACTTAATTGAGATATTGGTATATGATTGTGGTTTAGGCAATAATGATGATGATGATATGAACTCATTTATCGTTCACAATATAAAATGCACACTTTCTATTCATAAATGCATAATTACAATTATGTATACATCATAATAGATATCGAAAATCTTCACGAAATGATCAAATGCAATCGAAGAACGCTTCCATTATCATTAGCAACGACATTTTTTCCTTAGCAGCTTCAGTTGTGAATCCGAAAATTGTGGCTGATCAGTTGACACTCTAGGTTACATATGAAATTTGATGAATGACCAAAACAATGAAGCATTCATCGACTTCTGATTCTTTGTATGGATTCATTCGAATGCTCTATTCACAAATCATCAACGACTCGTCGTCGAAGGAATCCACTCAGTAATTTGAAATATATGTGGAGAAATTTGATGCGAAAGAACTTTTTTGAGTGTTAGGTTTGTCTCTAATCCCCAAAAACGAAAGGTTTTCGCCTGGGTTGGACAACCCGAACTGATAGGAGGACGATTCGTAGTGATGTTACCGAAGCAATTTTTCAACTCCTATTATATGGTACATATTCGATACGTTCGTTCGTTCACCTAATAATGATTATTTGCACGTCTCGACTGCCAATAGTCTGCTGCTGGTGATAACGATGTGATCGTCTGTGAACCACCCAAAACACTGCCAGGTCGGGGTGGCTGATCGAAAACTTGTTGCTCAAACACTGGTATTGCACTGTTCGAGCTTATGCGACTCGATTGAAGCTGGGCATCCTGAACAAAGCAATCATTGCGAATCCGATTCATTCACATTTCTTTCTGAAGTTATCAGATATCTTTCACGGTAACAAATGTTTTTATTCTCCATTTGTTCTTATCTCCCGCCTTCACGGATTGCTTCGTATAAGCCAAATGCGGTGATCTTATTGCCTTATGAAACATCATAACTAATATCGAAAATCTTCACGAAATGATCAAATGCAATCGAAGAACGCCTCCATTATCATCAGCAACGACATTTTTTCCTTACAATTAGCAGCTTCAGTTCTGACTTCAAAAATTGCGGCTGATCAGTTGACACTCTAGGTTACGTTGACACTATAAACTAAAAAGTTAACTTCTTAAAAATTTCTCCTCAGCTACAGGTTAGCTGAGGAGAAATTTATAAGAAGTGAACTTTTTAGAGGACGCTTCAATTTAGTCAGTATTGTTTGGATGAGACAATTCGTGCATTTGAAGATGCATGAAGGTTATTCTTCCTTCAATTGTTATAAATTTTTAGCAAGTTACTCGAAAATGCAAAGCAAAATGCCGCACGAAAACGGGAAACACGACTACGGCGGATCTAATGCAATCATGCACTCTTCCGGGGATGGAGACAAATTGTTGCATGACTTCATGTAACTAATCATTCACAGAACAGAGCGTCAACGAGTTTCAGTCACCATGACGTCGTGGAATGAACGTTAAACGCATTGAAATCGATCCACACAAATTGAATTACCCTCATTTTTTTCAGCGCGTAAAGTTGATTTCGTTGCCATATTTCATGATCGTCTGCGCCCGGTACAACGCTATGCTCATGCGAGTCTTTTGCAAAGAACACAAACGTGGTAACCAACACACCGGCCAACTGAGCGAACAATAAGCAAAGTGTCGCAAAAGCAGCCAAATAGAATGAATATCCGTATTCTTTCTGAAATTGCAACCAAATCATCAAGAGAGCATTCGGAAGTTTAAAACACCGTCAGCCCTATCGATTATAAAGCTTATTATGAAGACTTAGCAAATTCTTGATCCCAATTTCAAATCTTGACGTCAAATTCACTGCTATAAACATTTTTTCCCATACATGAAATTGCTGATGATTTCATGACATACTGTTCATGTTTGAAAACAACTACTTTTCCACTTCGATGAATTGAGAAGGAAGTTAACAAGATATTTCATTTGAAACCATCGTAGACGTAAGGTGATTCAAGGATATGGATGGTTGCTGGCATAGAGGAACAATCTAACGTTCGCCACTTACTCTGAATGTGTTCTTCACACCAATCAAATATCTTGCTTCGAGCATTTCGGCATTGATTACGAAGACGGCAAGTGCAATCGACAGAAACATAACTGAAAGCATCCACATTATTGAGAAGCAGTTAATGATGTTTCAGCCTGTGTGAATTTCATTCAGTCATTATCGCTATGTTATGTAGCTGAATTCGTTTGATTGGGTCGACAATATCATTTCCCTTTCAACAACTAATCGCTGCGCTTCATAATCGCACTGCACACTAACAAGGAAGGGTCACGAACTTACCCCCGCCTTTTGGGATGAGACATATATCATTTTGTAGAGCTCATGTAGCTGATCATGTAGCTGATCAGCTCTACAAAATGATATATGTCTCATCCCAAAAGGCGGGGGTAAGTTCGTGACCCTTCCTTGTAAGCACTAAGCTACAGGTTCGGTAGATGGATCGGCGGAGCAATGATATTGTTGATAAATTTGTGTATTCTTCACATTTGGCTCATTGCAGTTCGTGTGATATACTGTTGTCTTAATGAGGCAATATACTCGGATCTATTCTGCACATGAGGCAATATAGTCGGATCTTGCTGAGGCAATATACGATACTTACACGACAAAAATGCGAATCCATTGAAGGTTACTGTCAGAAGACGAGCGTAATTTCTTCGGTATGTGCTCAAGGCAATAGCGATAGCTGCAATTGAACCGAACAACAACGCGAAAATCATCAGAGTGAGTACGGCTTTGTGCCAGCCTGCAAACGATCAAAATTTTTGGATGATCTGCAAGATTGAATACAACGATCTGGCTGCCACTTTTGTGGAGTTTCAGCTAAACTCGAATAAATTCATCCAATTTATTATGCTAATACATATGGTTGTTTTGGGCCAAATTGAGCTGAACACGCGCAAAAAACTAATTGTTCTGATACAATCGTACACAAAATGATCGATGTGAAAAAACTGGTGATAAATCATCAAAACAACACACATTTCGGCAATAAATCATTTCAGTGAAAATGAATCGGAAATAAACCAACAACACCCAATCAATCATCATTCGCATACCGAAGAAATACGGTGTTCGAAGAAGCTTTTTACGACAGTCACCAATCAAGAAAAAACGACACACATCCACTCGTTCATAATAGTTGGCGCTATCATCGTTGAAGATATACCAGCACTGTGATGCACCCGGACAGTACAGCCATAGGCCACTTTGCACGTAAACACCTGCATCTAGATCTTTGGCAACCTGGAATCACCAATGATACTTTGTAAAACCGGCTGTGAAGCTTCGAACAATGAATAGCAATTTCAGTGCAAAAGCTTGCGAGTTTCCTTGAAAAAGCCACAAGGAACACGCTCAGAAACCACGTATGCTGTTTTCACAAGGATGTGATTCTGCTCATAGCCCGATTCTATCATTGAGCAAATGACCTTATCGTTTGACAAAATACGCCTCTAGTCTCCCCAGAGATCATTAGCAAGCGAATCAAAACGCCACTGTTACATCGTCTGATTACATCGAAAAAGTTTCAGTTGATGAGAGAAAATTTCTCATTGTCAATTTCAAGACAAAACGAACCTGCCATGCCGGAGTGACCATAGCAATGAATGCTAGCAGATTACTGAAGCAGATTAACGCAAACGCGACAATCTGTGCCTTTACCAAGCGATTCGACCAATCGAACAACATCTACAACATGAAAACGTCTTCAATAACCAATGACTTTTCTCGGAAAACTGCAGTCGGCAGAAGCATAAAGCTAACTGAACGCAGTGCTGACGCGATCGCTATGAGGAACTGATACTGTACATCATATCCGTGCAATCGCGCGCAGAGTTTCACGTTTTTTAATGTGGCATCATAATTCGGGCATATAAAGCAAGTTTACCCTCAATACAACCTACTTTAAGACCCGTTAAATTCCTAGTGAAATAAATGGTTCCGTTTCTACGATTATCACCTGATTCAAGTGCAAATCTCACATCGTTTTTGACAAACAGTTACAAAAATCATTAAACAGTCATCACTTTCGAGTGCATCAATCTCTTTAGGAGCGGGAAAAAACTGGTTGAAGGTGTCGAATGAATGAACGTCCTCGTAAAGGACGCGAAATTTACGAAGTTCATATGAAATCTTCTATGGATAGTTCTTTTGATATGCAAATGCGTGCACGTAGATAATACAGACGACACATCGATCGGCAAAATGGAATGTGACGATTTGATTGACATACATTCCTCAAACAACAACAACACGCACACCATTAACTCGCAACATTCCACCTCACCGAACATCGATCCATCTAGATAATGGTTACAGGTTATGAAAATATATTACTGATCACGAGTGTGTTTTGCAATCACATTTTTAAATCTTCACTGCTCATGTTTTTAAATCACATACAGCAAATTCAAATTGTGAACGGTTTGAAACTGCTAATTTTCAAACTTTCAACTGCAATAAGTAAAAGGTTGTGAGAAGAATTCACGTTTCGTACAAATTATTCAGTTGAATATGAAGGGGTCATTTTGGTGAGTCTGCTTGTTAGCTGATAGAAATAGTGCTTACAATTAGCTTGACTGAATCAACGATGTAGGTTTGTTACTTCGATGAGATCATATGATGATGACTGCATGAGTGTCTGCTCAATTTTTTAGCGCAACTGTGTTTTCACACTCCAAAACATCACGGATCAATTTCGAGTCACGGAATATATCAAAGATATCGGGATTGTTTGTCGTATGAAAACCCTTTTGCATCATCGATAATGCAGTCAAGGCAAATCCGTGACTAAGGTGAACGTAATCCAGATCGTTGATAGGAATGTTATAGCATGATTTTTCAATGGTAACATGCCACGTTCAATACTAATAATGTGATCAGTTTTATAATAATATAGTGAAAAAAGCACTTATTATCATCATTACACCTAGCGATTACGATGCTTCCGATGTTATTTGAGAGAATGTAATCCCGTACGTTAGGCTGATCTGACGCAATCCGATTTGAATAAAGTAGTCATGTGATGATTGGAAATTAACAAAATTACTAAATCAAATGACTTTCTCAATGGTTATTCCTCACACTGTTCTATTTATGGTAATTTTGGTGGAAAATATAAATGTCTAGCGAAATATTCGCAATCAAAAATTTGCAGTGAAACTCAGAAACATGTATTCATTTTGATCTATGATCTATTGGGGATAACACAGTTTCCAAATCTCATGACGAATTTCCAGACCCCATGTCTTCCAAATTCGATCGAAAACTGCCTTGTCTGAAATAGACATACATACTCACATTTCCTCGACGAAAAGCACTGTCATCATACCTGGTTCAATATTTAAGGAGATAGTTAGAACTTGTTCGCAAATAAACTTTGCTTATGCTCATCATCTCGGAGTGAACTGATAAAATCTAGAAAAAGCATTGTGATGGCGCATCACTTAACTAAGATGAACTAAAAAAACTGTCAAGTGAAAAATTCCCATCTGTCAGAAATCAGTTACACAACAAGTGATCTGCAGTTCCATGAAATTGATCAGAGGTATAAAGGACTAAAACAAACATCGAAGATTGTTTTTGTGAAATCGGAAACAGTCGTCCGACAATCAACACTCTGTCGAAGTTCGACCATAATTCACACCGATATTCGAAGCTTATCAGAATCCAGTCTAGACAATGGATTCAATGACGTTGTAATGGGAGGGAGTGAAACAAACGAAAACAGCCATAGAATCGAACATTTCGATGATGAATTACGTAAGAAAACTGTTCGGAATGGAACACGACGATTGAAGGAAATGTGTGTGATGAGTTGAACTGTTGATGTTGAATAAATTTCTTATGAATACGCATGGACGGCACTCAGGTTCGAGGGTGTTGATGTAAATTTATTGATGCGTCGTATATTTTGTTTCGCGTGTGTGCTACTGCATCCTCCTTCGCCAGCAACACGTGATCAAGGCCATTTTCGTATTCGTCACGTTTGATGTCTCATCGATGTGTGATCGTAGCACAGCAACGGCAGCAGCAGATGCTGTGAATAAATCATGCAATCTTCACCGTATACTCTCTATAAAACAGTAACAATAATACCAAAACCAGTATTCACTGTACCGCCCTCACTCACACCTGTAGCACACACACAAATTTCACTAATAATCTACATTAAAAGCTTTTTTTGTTCCAAAAACACGAAACATCAACTGCATAATTGATGATCGCTATTACCAATCGCAACATAACTAAAGCGTACGTAGCAATTAGTACTGATCAGACACTGCAATTATGGACCTTTTGTACTTTTTTATCCGCAATATTCGTCGACATTTATCATTTAAGTGATAAAATAGTGCCATTTCGCAGTTATCAAAAACGTGATAAAAGAGCAGCAACAAAAGATATCGAGAAGGAAAATGCTTGAGTCGGGATATTTGTTATGTGCAACGGCTAATGAGCAGCATTCCCATTTTACTGATCATTATTTTAAGGATTATTTTAAGGATATTTTAAGGATGTGCAACGAGATCTTTCGATAAACCCTTGAGTGGACAAGGAGTTGCAGAAATAACCTTTATGCATCGCTGAAGTAACCTCATTGGTAGCTCAAGGAAACATGCGAAAGAGGTTAGTAACTGGCGATTTATTAAATCAACATTCGTCAGATTCTCGTGCAACAGTTTTAGTGATCTAACGATCAACTGCCTGACTAGAAACGACGAGCACATAATAGCAATATTCATTTATTCGGACATCATTTACAAATATACATTCTGTGTGAACATTGTGAAGGCACTTCATGACAATATGTACACAGTTCAAGATAATAGATTACAACAACAAGGATATGATGATGATGATCTATTGTCGATATTTCGGAGGTAAATCAGGTAGGGCACGCATTGCAAAGAAATCATCTCGATTATCATGAGGATACGAAATCTGAAATATTGAAATATTCGTTTGTTGCGGGCTGAGACAGTGAAACAAATTCAAAATGAAAACCTGTCACACCTAATGAATGTGAAATGTTTAGTTTTCGTTTTCTGAAGAGAAAACTCTTCACTTCAACAAAAAAAACGTATTTCATTTCATCAGATGGAAAAAATGACGGTAAAAAACAAATATTCCTTCAAGTGATTCAACAACCTAAGAACATCATATGTTCCTTGTTCTTTTCGAGTTTTTAGACACATCTGGTTTACTGTGTTACAAATATGGTCTGCGTGATTGATTAAGTCTGTTCAGCCGCGAAAAAATTCCATTCGTTTGTGAAGTTTGATCAGATTGCGACTCATTCAGTATTTTTTACGCTCGAAACAGAACTACTATCAGTTTAAGAACCAGTTAATTGCATTGTGATGGTCCGCTTTGCACCAGAAAGTGCATCTAACGATT